ATTTTATGATAGATTCATTCTCTTTATGAGAATGAATCTATCATAAAATTTGGAAAATATTTTATGATAGATATAATATTTTATGATAAATTTGGAAAATATTTTATGATAGATTCATTCTCTTTATGAGAATGAATCTATCATAAAATATTTTCCAAATTGTCTTACAAATAATTTGTTAATTTCAATTATTCAAATTGCTAAAATTGACTACATCTTAGTCCCAAAGTTTACTTTTTTGATTTTAATATATATTTTTGAAAAAATTTTTTTAATTTAATCTAACAAACATTAAAAATATTTTTCTGATATATAGTTATTATTAATATAAAATCATTTAATAATGACCTTTATTATTAAAATAATAGTGTTTCTTTGATTGCATATTTGATAAATTACTATCACTTTATATTCACTTTTTAGTATTTTATACTGTAGATATATACAGTAGAGAGAAAAGATAATATCCACATTCATACTATACTATTGATGTAATTTTTAGATTTTTAGGCACAAAATAAATTATGACTGCACTAAACTTGTTTAGTTGTCATGTGCATGTCTGATCGTGTTTATAATGTCGGCATAATATTCACCAAATACGGCTCTATTATGAGAAACCAACCTGAGGAATTGCCCAGTGGTACATGACAAGTTGCTCTGCAGAACTGACAGACCTGTGGGTACTTTGACAGGACTGGCTGTCTGTGATGTCATCACTTCTTCGATAAAAGTCAAAATTCTGTTTTCTAGAAAAAGAAATAAATAGATTAACATGCAAAATTTATTGGTCCTTATCCTAATAATACTTGCTATAAATGTAAATAAACAAAAGTAATTTAAAATTTTCATATAAAGTCATAACCAATTTTGAAATCATACATTTACATATAAATAGTGTGGTATGACTTGAATGAATAAAAAACTTTTGACTTAAAATCAATGTTACTTTTATAGTAAACAAATTTTCATTCCTTCTCAAAACTTAAACAATTCCATAATGTGTATAAAAACTAAACAATTTGAATATCATAAAACCAGAAAGGAAAAAAAAATAACTCTGAATATATTATTTCTTTCTTAGATCTTTCTCAATTATTTAATTACATTAATATTTATTAAATCATTAAATTTCTGAATAAATAACTCACTTCTAATATCAAATTTGTTCAAAACATTAATATATATATTATAAACATAATTCTTACCAAATTATTCTATAACCTTAAATATTTGGCAGTCTTACTTTGTTTTATAAAGTAGAAATAGTCATAACTCCACATTATCTATATATATATATATATATATATATATATATATATTAGCTGGAGGAGAATATCAACAGAACAAATCCAGTAAGATTTTTCACATTATTATTTGAGTAACAATGCAACACTCAACACATTTCATTTCAACATATGGTTAGTGACAACACTGAATAAATGTGCAATTTTTTAGTTTAACAATAGACATCATACTTATTATTAGAAGGCACTGTTTATTATAAAAATCCAAGATTAATTATAATATATATTTACCTAAGAGCTGAAAATCCTCCAAACAATGCTCCTGATGCCATTCCAACACAAAATCCTATGGCAAAACCCATTTTAACTCTATCCCAACAACTTGGACCTTGTTGATATCGACCTACTGGTACTGGCATTTTTCTATGACTAGCTGTTTCCTGTAAATGTTTATTTAATAAATTCAAAATTTTTAAAATATTAAAATAAAATTTTGTTTAGATTAATGAATCTTTTTTACTACATATTTACAGAGAGAGAGAGTAGTTTACTATGACAAGAAGGAATTCTATATAAAAGAAAACAAAATTACTTTAAAATCTACTTTTTAAAAGTATGGCAACTAATATCCAACCTCTAGTCCAAATTATATGTTTATATTTAATTAGCCAAGTTATACCCTGACAATGAATCCAGCTTTATCATTTCATTATCATCATATATCATCACACATATTAATATATCATTGAGCTTGGTTTTCTATATGAATAAATTAAAATTTTATGTCGTTACATTTGGTTTAGTTTTTCTATCAGGTAAGTGCAAAGAGGATTAATTTCAGTAATATAAGAGTTTGGAAATAAGATTTAAATTATTATTGTTATATATGCATATATATTAATAATAGTGTAATAATATATATATTTCTAATTCTAATTATAATTCTAAGAAAAAAAAATAAACTCTCACACTACTTAAAACAACCTGATTTTGTGCTATTTCACTATTGAGCTCTGAGAATTCACATCATGTGACTCACTTGTTCAGTCTTAACAATTTCTTAAATGAATTACAGTACTTTTATTGCTAAAAAAATTCATTTAAGAAGCTGTTTGAAGAAATTGAAATAAAGATTGTATTCAGGTGGATGATCAAATGCAACAGCACATGCTTATAAAGTTCATNCTGGACGTAAAAATTCTCTAATTAGTCTGGAAACGGGGGACCTAATTCTTGCATTCTGTGAAAACGAGTAAGATTGGCTATAATGTAATTATCTTAATCTTCACTATCGTTACTTTTTGCCCACAAATAAAAACCCAGCAAAGCGGGTCCTTGCAGTTAGATTCTGGATTACTTAGAAAAACAGTCTTTTATATATATAAAAAACTATATTACATACAAATGTACGAACAAATAAAAACCCAGCGAAGCGGGTCCTTGCAGCTAGTAATATATATTCAAAAGAAAAATATTTAAAAATTAAAAATGGTTAAGTTATATTTTAATTTCATCAATCACATTAAGTTCTCATGCATGAAAGACTAATAATATATAATGTGTCTAAAAAGTTTGGTGAATTTTATAATAAAAACAACAAAACAGAAGATACATAAAAATTATTCATTGGCTTTCAAAATATATTTCATGAGACACAACACACTTTTGACAACATTCGTAAAACTTCTGGAAACAATTGGAAAAAATCTTGTTTGGGAACTGCCTTAAAAACTGCTGTCTCATGAGCCTGAATCACAAAAATATCAGCAAAACATGTTCCTTATTGACCTCTGAGTGGAGGACACTCACACGTGTCTTTACTAATGTCCCATTCTTCTGCTATCAATTGCATAGTCAATCACCAATCTGTTTCTAGCAAGCTTTATAGTTGATCAATCATTCTGTTTGTCAATAGCTGACTCAAACTCAGTTCATCTTCCAACAATTCCTTACTGTTGCAAAAGCATTTAAATCAGTCATACACACATTTTCTGCTCCTAGCATAATTTCTGTACACTTTGATCAACATTTCATGCATCTTCTGTTGTCATTTTCCCCAATCTGAAGCAAAAATTTCATATTGTGTCATTGTTCCATTGCTCTTTGATACCATCTCCCACACAGACTGTGGTGAAAGTCCATTTGCAGCTATGTGTAATTCATGCTAGGTGGTGCTTCTAGATGTATCCCTGGATGTCCATGTGCTTGCTTGAACTTATTATATACATTACATTTGAGATATCCTAACATTCATCAAAACATACCATAATATAAATGTATGTGTCTAAAAAGACACACATTTATATTATGGAATACAGATCATTGTCAACGTATTTATCAACTTTGCTATATGGAATTTTAAATACAGTTGGACAATTTCAAAAACAATCACTGATTGTATAAAATAAATCACCAAACGATCACCTAAATATCGGGCTATAATATGGCTAATTAAATGATCAGTATAAAGTAATTTGACATTAGAGGTAGACATTAGGCACCATCTCTTAAGTAAATTAATAATTATAATTAAATAAATAAATTTATTCCAGAAGGTTATTTTTCTAAATTTATTTATCTATATATATAAAAATGAATGTATGTCTGTCTGTGTGTCCTATGTCCTTCATGCATTACCACACCGTTTATCCGATTGCCATGAAACTTTGGGAAGTTGTTTAATATACTCCGGCGAAGGTTTGTGGCATAGTACGATTGCCATGAAACTTCGGGAAGTTTTTTAATACACTCCCGCGAAGTACATTTATCCTACGATAGATGGCGCGCGTTTACACGAGCATTCGCGCATAGTGTGTTTGATCGATTTCAAATTGTGAAGACCATTTCCCCCCTTCAAAAATATATATGTCTTATGCATTTGTAAACTGTTATTTACGATATTTATAATAATTTTTTTTAATCACTTTGATTGTTGCTGCTTCCCTCGTGTTACATAATTTTTTTTTAACCGAAAGCAGCACAACATACTGTCCAACAGGTTTTGTCGACACAGAAGATTCGGATCATTCAGTCAATCTGGGACAATGGCGTGATGAGCAAAAACACTTACATAAATGTGGTTGGCAAAAATCTAACACATATAGTTGTGACGCAAAAGTGTTACGTGACAAACTTGCACAATATTTATGTACTGAAGGTGCCGTAGAATGGCAAGATAGCTGTGTTTATCGAGGCCTTGGTTAAATTTGTATAATGTAAAAATATTTGTAAAAAATTTTGTTTTGTATATATGAAAGTAATGGTTTATAAACATGATTTATTTTAAAAGTATATGCTAAATGATTTACTTATTGTGTTGTTTATGTATTTCTTTTTTCAAACATAAAAATTCAGTGTTTTTAGTACCTCATGTCT